AGTCCTCCTTGACGCCCCTTGCTTTCGGTGGCGATGGCAAGGGCGAGCGACGTTCTTGTTTCCGTCGGTGTCTCTCGCCGTCGGCGGCGAAGGCTCGCCGCGTCGGACGAGGTCGCGTAGGGCAGCGCAGTGTCAGCGCGCGCGGCGGAGCAGCGTCGCGCGGGCGGAAGGAGGGAGCGGAGACGCGGGGCCGGTAGTGAAGGCAGGTGCCGCGCGCGCGTGCGCGTTTCTGTCCGGCAACTGCTGCAGAGCGCATTCTCTACATTGCGACACGCACGTTCGCGCGCTGTCCAGCACTGCACGTGCGCAAAAGCGCATTGACGTTGATTAAATCCCCCAAAAAATATTTCCAAAAAATAATTTTCCCGCGAAAATGTATTTTTGCAAAAAAATGAGTCCCCGCCCGTGGGGTCGTTATTGCAAAGTGTCGGGCGCGACGCACGTTTCGTCGCCCTGTCGCCGATTGCGTGTAACGCGTGCGACGCCCGTCCGCACGTGCCGAATTTCGTCCTGTGCAATTACTGCCCCTCAAAAATATCTTCTATTCAAGCCTTCGGGGCTGGTGGTGGTGGTTTGTCCAAACGGCGGTACTGGGGGTACAGTACGCGGTCCGTAGATTGCGGGTTGAGAGTAGAGAGGGGGCGCGTCTTCGATCCGCATACTACTCTCGTGACTGGGTCGCTCCCTCTCCGTCTTCCCTCTGTCCGTACTTCAAGCGTGGCTACGCTATCCCCTGCTCCTCGCGCATTGTTTTGTGCGATCCGCTCGCTCCTGCGCTCCAACCGGCGCGACCTGACCCTACCGCCACACGTTCGAGGCGGGCCTTCCTGGCTCGTTCGCTTCCCCTAAAAAGCGCAGTTTCTCGCACCCTACTCCGTAACCAGGCGCTGTCGGTCGGCGGCTCGGATGCTCGTGCAGGTCGCTGCTGCGCTTCGGTGGTGGCGAGGGGGTTCGGGCCCCTTTGCGGTTAGCCGCCCCCATTGATGGTTTGGAGAGACCGGTGTTCTTTTCCCGTTATTTGCCATTCCTTGGCGTTGGACCTATGACAGCCTGTACTGCTTACCATCTCGCGACTCCCTCGCGGTTGCGTGTTACTTTCGAAGATCTCCGTCGAGTGTTGTTGTTGGAGTCGTGTGACTCCCTCCCCGTTGGGGGAGGTTGGAGGACAGGTGTCCTTTTCCCGTTATCGGAATTTTGTCTAACCGCGGTCGATTACCTTGATCCAAACGGAGGGGTTGGGGGCCCCCTCCTCAAGCGTGAACGTCCGCGTTCACGTTTGAGTTGAGGTCCATGCCGGTGTGTCTCCGGAGGCGTTGGGCGTAACGAGACACCAACTCCTCCAGGACACGAGTCCGCGCAGTGCAAGTGGACGTGTCGTAATCCGCCCACTTCATGAGGAACTCGATAGTTCCGTCTTCCATAGCACGGTGCTTCAGTAGTCGCTCGACAGCGTACTGTATCCCGTCTCTGACCTTATCGGCAAGGTCAGCTGGGGTTGTCGTGCTCGCCCGTAGTGCGTTCGTCGGCGGTGGCGCGTATATGCAGCGATCTGCGGAGACCCGCTCAGTGACCCCATCACGATCGATCGTGATGGTTTGGCGGTTGTTCGCGAGGACGCGGTAGGGTCCGACCTTGGGGAGGACGCGGGCATGCCGAGCGGTTTGACGCCTCGACGCCCCGGGGCGGTACTGGGGAACGATCCAGTACCAACGGGCGGAGCCGGAGCCGGCTCGTGGGCGTGCTGCGCGCGTCCTCAACCCGCGCTCAGTGCCGCTCTAAGGTATTTAGCGAGCTTTACCTTAGAATAAGCGGGAAGTCGGACCTTGACGGTCGGTGGGTGACAAGTCCTTGCTTGTCCTCCTCCACCGCCGCCCGGTCCGCTCCATATTTAATATACAAAACAATATATAACACTACAGTACTGAAGTACTGTAGTGGACTACTGTAGCACAGGTCAGACCGTACTGTAATACTGTCAGCCATCGGGGCTGACAGTACACGTACGCGCGCTTCCGTCGCGCGCGTACACGTGTAGACGGGTACATACATGCGCCCCGCACCCGAGGGGGTACACGTGGCCACGCGCTGTAGTACTGTAGAGCATCGGACTCTACAGTATTGGATCCTGTTGTTGATCTAATCTAACTAAAAAGCCCCAGGGGGGTTATACTACACTGGAGAAAATTTGACAAATTTGACAAATTTGTCGCACTTTCATTGGCCGATATTTGGCTATTTCGGATTCCGGCCATTTCCGAATGCACTCAGTATAGCAAATGGCCACCTCCGCAGGACAGGTTCATACAAAAAGGGTCAAATTTGCAGAGTTCGCTTTTGTCCCGCGCTTACCCGGTTTGCCCCATATTTAACCGGGCCTGCTGTATACAACGCGTAAATGATATAAGGCAAAAGCGCAAATGAGGGGGCGACACCCTGCAAAAGTGAAATATACGCAATGCGATTTAAAGATTCTGGCTGTGTCTATAGGGCGACATTACTAGAACGTGTGGTTCTGGTAGGGTGAAATGGACCATGGCGTTCTCTGCGTGAGGTACCAATGCCCGTTTTCTATGGCGACGGAAATATGACCATTAAGTCACCTCCGACAAACACGTATTTTAGTCTTTCACCCCATAAACCCGTACAACATCATGTCAATTTGGGCAGAGGCCTAAATGTAGAAAAGTCGCCTAGACAGTCACAGTTTCTTTCATGCTCCCCTATAGAAGCACGCTAACGCACAGTGGCGCGTAGATGGAGTGCTCCAAAATCCGGCACAATATAATGTGGGCATATCAAGGTGACATGCGACCACGCGCGGTCGCGGGGCGAACCTTCTGCCTTCTCGCGAAAACATTACATTCTGAACCCGCCATTTTGCCGCGTCTACGTGCCCCGGTTCCTTCCCTGGCCCGAAAAGCTCGCCGGTATGGTAAGAGGCTCGAGTCGCGCGCGCCAGCGCGCTTGTGTGTGGGTTTTGTTCGTGCGAACGGACGGACCTGACGAGACACTCCCCTCTCTTCCGTCTCTTTCGCGTGCAGCCTCGGCGACAATGGCCCGCCACTGATGTAGTACGATGCGGACGGGGCGGCAGTGTTGGTCGGGGTGGCCTGGGCAGCCTGGCATGCGGCTTCGTGGGGCTGCGTGGGCTCTGTCTGCGCTGGGCGTTCTTCGAGGCGTTGCTCGACGAGGAGACGGGCGGGCATTATCTTCAAGGCGAGAGATGTGTGTAGTACAGTGGACACACTCGCCAACGAGGGTGTCAATCTCGCTATGAGGGAAAGCGGTATGTCCTGTTCGTGGTAGGTCAGAGGAAACGCAAGAATCGCGGGTAGAGTCGCGGTCAGCGTGTGAAGGGGTACTCGGGATCGAGTAACTAGAAGGAGAGGGTGTGGCAGTCGCGTCGCGAACCGCTATTGAGAGCGTCGATCGAGAACAAAACAAAGAAAAACAAAAAGAGAACGAAGAAGACAAGTAGTGTAGAAATGTAGAAAATAGGGGAAAAAGTAAAGGAAAACAAGAAAAAGGATGACGACGGAGGGTGCAGGTACCAGACTTAGCCAACTACATAAGAAACGTAGAGGATCCTACCAGAGATGGGTCCGATCACCTGATGCCTCTTTACTGTATCGCCCTCCGGCACGCGACCTATATAGGCCGAGCGCCGTCGTCGGCGTCGGTTATTAAATGGGTAATTAATAATCAATTATTGCCATTAAAATTGCCACTCGTCATTTAAACGCTAATTAGCGTAAAAACTTGTGGGCACCACGTTTGTATACGTGTGTACACGTAGGGTACACGTATTGAACACGTATGGTACCATCCAAACGTCCACGAACGTTTTGAATACTGCCTCTTATAGTACACGTGTGGATTTACAGTTCATCCAAAACGTCCGCGGACGATTTGGATACTGACTCTTACAGTACACGTGTGAACTTACAGTTCATCCAAGACGTCCGCGGACGTTTTGGATACTGTCTCACACAGCACGCATATTTGTCACGTCTAGACGTGCACTCCAGCGCGCCAGAGCAAATCCAAGAAATTGTTGGAAATAAAAATACGGCGTTGCACCACGCACAGGACACGTGCGATCAACGTGTTAGGGGCTCGTGTGGGATGACTCCTCTCCGCCCTGGGTTGGGTGAGAGGGCGAGGCTATAGCGAGGAAGCACGCTGCGCGGACGCGACGGGCTAATTGAACCGATCAGACGAGCTCGCGAAAAGGGAATGGCTCACTGGCCGGTTACGCGCAGTCGCCCCGTGGTGCGTGAACGGGAGGGACCGGTAACGGGTTAGAAGCTAGCGCGCGCCATATACAACCGAAACGGACATATGTAGGCGCGAAAGGGACGGGGTGAGCTTGCCCCAGTTTACTGGTGGGGACGGGTGCCAGATCTTAACCCCTCAGAGGGACGCATCCGACACCTGTCCCAGTACAGTAGTACAGTACCTGCCGCCTAGTGCGCGCCGGGTACTGTACACAATTAAAAAGCTAGTGCGATAATTACTACTACCGCACGGACGCTGCTACTACACGTGCGCACTACTGTACACGCGTGTTACTTACAGACTACCGCACGGACGACATGTGTTCTCACGCGCACACGTAATACGCGTAAACTACCGCACGGACGACACGTGTGCTATTGTACACGTGCGCCACCCCACGACCGGTCCGCACACTCGCGCGCTCCCTACACGTGGGCACACCGGCCCACGTGTGCACCGTGCACGGCCGCACGGTTAATAACCTCCCCGCGCGCGCGTCCCTCGTTATACTACAGCGGGGAGCGCGGCCCCACGACGGCGGTGAGCAGGCGTACAGTACGCAGGGTCACTGCACTACAGTGTGCAACCTCTGCCTGGGGCTGGAGGACACCAGTGAACGGGCGGCGGGGGCGGTGGGGATGTCGAAGGTTGAGGAGGGGTCCGCCGGGGTATCATTGGTTCTACGATGAGACCTTGTCTATCGTGTACACGTGTTCCAAGCGATGCGGCATCGTTGGTGCCCGCGCAGTCTGTGGCTCAGCGCCTTCGGCCATAAATTGCATCTGCAAAATCTGGAAGGCGCCGTGAAAGATGCCAATTCGTCCATCCATTTCTTGCATCGCAGAGCAACAGCTGCACCGTATGAGCTTCAAGTCCTTTTACCGTACCGCTGTTACTTCCTCCACTTTTCCCTCCAACTTCGTCAACCAATTTCCTCCCCCACCGCGATGGCGTTCCTCAACCCCCCATCGCTCCCCACTCGCTCCCCTAAACGCCGTCCGCCCGCGCCCATCTGTTCTTCTCTAGGCGGCTCCAAGCTGCCGCATACCGCCTACACCACCCTCTTGCAAGACGACACCCCGCTATGCCGCGTCATCACGGGCATGTGGCGAGCCTCAGACCCCCGCGGCTACGGCCCGACCACGGCCGATGTCACCAAGGCCATCCACGCCGCCGTTGACGCCGGCTTCTTCACCTTCGACCTCGCCGACACCTACGGCGACGCGGACCTCTACGTCAGAGAGTATGCCCGCAGCGTCGGTCGCGCCGCGTCTCAGCGCCTCCAGTTTTGTACAAAGCTCGCCATCGACCCGCGTGAGCTGGAGGGCACCGTGTCCAAGGCTACCGTCCAGCATTACGTCGATCGCGCTCTCAGTCGCATGGATCAGGAGAGGATCCACTTGCTCCAGCTGCAATGGGCCGACTTCTCCGACACCCGCTTTATCGATTTTTTGGGCTACCTGGGTGAAATGAAGCGCGAGGGCAAGGTGCGAAGCGTCGGCACAGCCAACTTTCCGACCAGGCAGCTCAAGTATGTCTCGTCGCAAGGTATTCGTATAGCCTCCAATCAGGTCTCGTTCTCGCTGCTTGACAGACGGCCCATCGTCGAGATGGCTGACTGGTGCAGCGACAATGACGTTGGCTTGCTGGCTTACTCTACACTCGGCGGTGGGTTTTTCACAGAGAAGTATCTTGGTCTGCCGGAGCCGACGAGAAGGGCGTGTGGCACCGCCGGTTTGCAGAGGTTTTCGCTTTTGATAAAGGTCTGGGGGGGATGGAGTCTATTTCAAGAGTTGCTTTACGCCATTAAAGTCGTTGCGGATAAGCATGATGTGAGCATGGCCAATGTTGCCGTCAAATGGGCACTCCAGTATCCAGGCCTTGCAGCAGTGATCGTTGGCGCGCGGCTTGGCATAGCTTCCGAGACTGACCATATTTTGAACAACGTAAAGGCCTTTGAATTTTCGCTCGACGAAGAAGACATGCAAATACTTGATGTAATCGCTCTAAAAGGGAATGACATGTATCGGTTACTAGGAGACTCTGGAGAAGAACTTCAGAGCCCTCGTTAACGCATGACATTCCACGACATTAAACGTATTCATGCCGTTCGACCTTGTACAGTATGTCGAACGGCACTTCATATTTTCAATCACAGGGCGACTTTTGTGGTTCGCTTTTGACTTCTTTAATTTACCGCACGACTTGGTCACTCTACTAACTAGCAGTCTAGCAGTCTCGTAGTCAGCCCCAACGAAACGATAAAAGCGCACCCGAAGAACAAGATATTACGACACACCGCCACCTTCACACGCGTTCAAGACGATGTGGCTACTCTCAACAATGACACACAAGCCTCTAACTTAACCGGTTATGGGAGTAATGCTAGCGATCTTGCCACCGTTCTTGTGAATAGAGACATATGTCTTCGACAGCTCGTTGAACGGCACCAAATAAACTTTGTTGGTGCCACGGAAGTCTGACCGCCTCGCGTTGAAACTGTTGTTTCGAGTCTTGTAGAACTTTCCGCTGCGCGAGCGCAGGCTTACACCTGCGCCACCGTTGGTGGCTCCCGATTGGCTGTAGTCCGCGACCTCGATGCGGAACATCTTGCCGCCCGAGACACGAGTGCCGTGGTAACTGCGGGCCATGGTGGCACCGGAGAATCCCCCTTGCCAAGATCCTGCCGAGGCGTCTGGGCTTTGGAAGGTGCAGCCGTCGGAGCCCGGGGCAATGACGGCAAGCGGGATGGATTGAATGCCAGCCTGGTTGAGTGGAATCCTGTTGGTCATTATGCACGGGTTGGACTTATCCGACGTGGAGGCGCCCCGGACGACCTGGAACATGTGCGTGAAAGCGCACATGGAGAGGTTGGAGGAGGTCAAATGACCGCGGTAGAAAGGAACTGTCCACTCTCCATAGTACTGGTCGAACTCATAATCGTCATCAAAGAAGGCATCAATGAAGGCATCATAGCCCTCGGAATCATAGACGGCGGACTTGCGACGGTACTCCTCAAGGCCATCGGGAGTACGACCAAGGAAGTGCTTAAAGTTGAGCTCGATGGCGCCGTAAAGTGGGCGGGAGTCAAAGAAGCGCCTGCGGTACTGGTAGGTCTTCGCCAGAACGCGGCAAAACTCCTTGACGGTGTAACGGCCGTCGCGGAACTCGGACTCAAGCTTTGCCATCTCTGCGCGCTCGGACTCCATGATGTAGGCGTTTCCAAAGATCTGGCGGTAGGTGCCCTGCATGATAACCTCGTAGTCCATAGAGAAACCGACGGGGCGCGTGGGATCGGGGACGGCGTAGCGCTCCTTCTGGAAGCGCTCCAGGCCGAGCTTGTCCAACGAGGAGTTGCCGGCGACCGTGCCCAGACGGGCGACGAAGCGCGACGGCGTGACAGCCGGGGCGGTCAGGGCGGTGCCCGTGAACGAGGTGACGAACGGGCGGGTGGCGGCGGCGGGCCGTAGGCCGACGATGGGGACGAATGCCATGGTGCGGGGTGGGGGACTGGCGAAGTAGGAGAGGGCGGATGGGAATGTGACGATTGCGGGTGAGGGAGGGGATGTGACGGTGGGGGGTGCGGGGGGGATGGGAGGGGGGGTGGGGGGTTCGACGGGATTGGGGTGGGATGAGTGCTAATCAAAGAAAGGGCAGGAATTAGGGTATTGTTGCATGAAGGAGTGAGTGGCATGGGTGCGAGCTCGGAGCGACTGTGCAGAGCCGGTGTGATCACCCGCATCACCAGATTGGGGTTCCCATAATATTTCTTGATTTAACATAATAGTACTGTACCCTGTACAGTAATGGTTAATTTCGTGGGCCACTCACATCGTGACAAGCGTTGCAGACGAAATGCCCAAACTGCTGGTTAACGGGGGGAACCCCGTCCCGAACTCAAACTACCGAAATGGAAAAGTCAATTTCACCCGTCTGTTGCCACCAAAATGCACCTGATCGCCCCCCTAAACGCAAAATCTCCCCTTTCAAAGGCAGGGCGGCAGTCCTAGCATTGATGTACTGTACCAGCCTTACATCCTACTCTAAATGGCAAGGGCTTCCGTCACTATCAAGTGCTCGAGCGATATAGCGCATGCACTGCGTCATGCCTGAACAAAATTTCGTGAATCTTGCTACACACAGCACTACACCTGCTTTTGTTTAAATGAGATGCTGGCGCGGCATATTGGCGGCAACAGAAGCTTCCAGAGACCTGGTCCAACCACGCCCCGACACCCGAAATGCTATCCAATTGTCATCGCTAAAACCACGAGATATTTCAACCGGTCCTGAGCTCGTCTTATCCACCTGCCACTCTCCTATTCGCTGGTCAATATTGCATACGTGTCCCCGCTGTATCACGGCGCCCAGCTCAACACCCCACAGCCCTTCAAACTCTTGCGACAGCGCCACCGTCCGTGCGCCGCCGCGTGCTCACAACGCATCATCCCAGCTCCCGGAACTCAACCACCAAACGTTTCCACTCCGTTCCCCCCTCCCCCCCACCCTTTCCCCAACTCTCCCGCGCACAATGGCCTTCGTCGCCCCCCTTCCCGTGCCCACGCACTCCGCCGCCGCCGCTCGCCGACCACTCACCCACCGCCGCCATGCCGTCGTCGCGGTCGCCGCGCCGTCCCGCTCCACTCCCACCACCAAGCCTGCCGTCACACACCCCATGACTCTCACTGAGAAGCTCCTCGCGCGCGGCGCCGAAAAGCCCTTCGTCAAGCCCGGTGATAACGTCTGGGTCAACGTCGACGCCCTCATGACACACGATGTGTGCGGCCCGCCCACGTTTGGCATCTTCAAGCGCGAATTTGGCGACGACGCCAAGGTCTGGGATCGCAACCGCGTCATCATCATCCCAGATCACTACATCTTCACGGAGGACAAGAGAGCAAACAGAAACGTCGACACGCTCAGGCAGTTTGCGACGGAGCAGGATATCAAGTATTTCTACGACATCAAGGACCTTTCAAACTTTCGCGCCAACCCGGATTACAAAGGCGTGTGCCACATCGCCCTCGCGCAGGAAGGCCATACCAGGTCTGGTGAGATTCTCTTTGGCACCGATTCACATACGTGCAACGCGGGCGCCTTCGGCATGTTTGCCACGGGCATCGGCAACACCGATGCTGGCTTCATTCTCGGCACGGGCAAGCTGCTGGTCAAAGTCCCGCAGACCATGCGCTTTGAAATGAACGGCAACATGCCAGATTACCTCCTCGCCAAAGACCTCATCCTCAACATCATTGGCGACATTGGCGTCGGCGGCGCCACATACAGAGCCATGGAGTTTGCGGGCTCGACCATCGGAGACTTGTCCATGGAGGAGCGCATGACCCTTTGCAACATGGCCGTCGAGGCAGGCGGCAAGAACGGCCTCATCGCCGCCGATCACCGCACCGAGGCTTACCTGGCCGCCAGGGGGTCCAAGCCCACCGAGATCTTCCACACCGACGAGGAAGCATCGTTCTACGCCGATTACAAGTACAATGTCGCTGACCTCGAACCAGTAGTCGCAAAGCCCCACTCGCCTGATAACCGCGCCCTCGCAAAGGAGTGTAGTGATGTCAGGATTGACCGCTGTTACATCGGCTCATGCACCGGAGGAAAGACAGAGGACTTCCTGGCTGCCGCCCGCGTTCTGCAAGGCCGCAAGGTGGCAGTACCCACGTTTTTAGTACCAGCCACGCAGAAGGTGTACGAGGACGTCGAAACCCTCCGCATCAACGGCGAGACCCTCAAGGATATTTTCTACAACGCAGGCTGCATCGCTCTAGGTGACCCGGGTTGTGCCGCTTGTCTGGGTGGTCCGTCGGATACATTTGCTCGGCTCAACGAACCCCTAGTCTGCGTTTCCACTACGAACCGGAACTTCCCGGGTCGGATGGGTGACAAGGAAGGCCAGATTTACCTTGCTTCCCCCTACACCACAGCTGCGTCCGCTGTCACTGGTTATGTCACAGATCCAAGAGAAGTCTACGATTTTGATGCCAACAAACGTCATCCGACTGAGACTCTTGCAGATTAGGGTATATATAAGAGCAATGCACAGTACACTAGTTCGTCACAGCAGTGGGAGTAGAGGGCAAGGATTAAATGATTGAGGGTTCGTAACCGTGGTCTGCGTTGTTTTTGTCATGTCATGAGGAATACTTTCATCTTTTTCCTCAGGTGCGTATTCGACGTTGCAGTACTCTTTGAATTTGTCGTAAGTGGTTTTAATTTGCTGCCTCGTCTCGACTCTCCTTGACTCGCTGATCTTTTCAATGGAATGTACTGTCCTTTTTTTTTTTGATTGCACAGCATTTAACCTGTACGATATCGCAAGAATTGTACCAGGGTAGGGAGCGACGCGGTGCTGCGGTGGTAGGTGAGCTGAACGATTGTGCCACGCCCTGAACGTTCGTGGTTTCCAATCCCATGAGGAGCTTCACGAAAGGTGTATTGTAATATTTTCTTGACTGAAGGAGGACATCTTTTTCATCCCATGCTGCTATTCTTCAAAGAAGGGGGTCCTCCTCTTCTCTCACAACACTGCCTCAAGTTCTTTGTACCCAACCCTGCTTCCATGTCGATATTCGGAAACACGGGAATCTTACGGTTAATATCTTTGTCCCCGACTGTGGCTAGAAAATACTAAAAGCGTTTTAGGACGATTTCAATGCAGGCATTTCGGTGCCTCGCTGTTTTCCTATGCCGTGGAGTTTTGACCTTGTGCCATCATCTCGAAAGAACGCCACATACTTGTTCTTTCGGAGCAAGTGTAGGACAATGAATTCCGATTCAGGTAAGCTGTCTCCGTTCTTTTGATTCTTTGCAAATTTTACATGCGAATGTGGGACTGTACATTAAATATTGCCGGGATGAACATTTCTGCGAGCTGCGTACTTGCTGGAGAATCATTTCATTTGTTGTAAATGAAAGCCAAGCGCATAAATATTATGCCCCTGTGCTGGAAGGATGTAGACAAAACAGCGGATTTAACACAAGTGCTCCCCAGGTTCCAAACTATTTCTCACGATAATATATTTCAGCTTTTCCACTAGTCGTCCACTTCCGGAGAAAAAACATATGAATCGTGTTCTCGTACATGATAGAACCCAGCTCAAATGCAATCCATTACGCGAAGGTTGTTCCAAGCATGGGCAGCCGTGCGAGTTATTTGGAAGCGAGGATTTGTCCTTTGTTTCAGGCAGAGAGTCACGCAATTGTTCATGAGCCCTGCACACTGTATTGAATTAGGCTGTCTTCGCTCAAAACGCGAATCCTTCGCTCATGCGGCAAAAGCGAAACTGACATCTACGTCATATATGATGAGATGGGGGAAACGAGGCAAACTGCGTCAGCAAATCCGTGATTTGGAAACTTCAGAACTGTTCCTATGCCAACAGGTTGACTCCTTGAAAACTGACAACGACATCCTGAAAGGGGAGCGATCAAGACTGTCGCACCTGTTGCAAGAATCAAACGACACTTTGTTAATTATGAACAAAGCCCTAAAGTCCAACGAGGCGAACAAAGCTGAACGGAACGACTTAATCGAGAGTCTGAACCAGCAGCTAGCTGCTGCAGAGGATCTTTTTGCACGACTTTACCAAAGAATAAGGGCAAATGCAATGAGGACTCATGCTGCAGAATCTAATTTTGTATCCGAGACTGAAACCCCAAGAGAGAGCGAGGTACCCATCTGCGCGTTGCAGGATGACTTAGGCGATGTACAAGAAGAATTGATGAAATGTCGCGAAGTTATTCACCGACAAAACGTCGAGAGCATAGTGCAGGACTGTATTTGGGAAGCAGCATGCGCCGCAGCTGTTCCGGAAACGAGAGAGAAGCAAGGAAAAGAGGAAAGAAGAGTTGCTGTCTGTCTATCCCCACGCAAAGGTAATCGGAGCATATCCAAGGCACAGCACGTGCTGTGTTCAGAACTGTTTCTTGCCATCTCCTGTGACGGTGTCCTCGTACCAAGTCGTAAGAGAGTATCAGATGAGGGACACAACTTGGGATGTCTTGGTGTTCTCAAATCGTTTTGGGTGTGGCTGCTCGCTCAGTGCTGACGAACGAACCTCGAAATCAGCTGACGTCGATGAACAACAGCTTCTCTTGATATCTCCAGATTAATTCGAGTAATAGGCATCAACCGGAGCGTAGCCGAAATCAAGTTTGGGAGGTGATGTTGGTGCCTCAGACGCGGTTGTTGCCTTTGATGAAACTCCCCTTTGACCACACCGAAGCACAGTCTTCTCAACAATTAAATTTAGAGTGTACTGTATGTGAAAATCGATCTGAGTCACATACGGAGCGAGTTCTGCAGTACCAAGTCTCGCTTGTGGACTTTCAGGGCGTGTTTTTCTCGCGTACAGTTGCGGTGCGGGAGGCCAACCCTCTACTCCTGCATCCCTTGAGCTACTGCCATGGTGCCTCCAAGGAGCGCTCTTCTAATAGTGGACGTTCAAAGGGATTTCCTTCCGGAGGGCTCGCTGGCTGTTCCACAGGGCGATGAAGTTGTTTCAATCATTAATTCCTTGAGGGCTCGAGCAACTTTTCCGTGCGGTGTGTTTCTCTCCAAAGACTGGCATCCTCCGACACACGTATCGTTTTGCAACAATCATGGAGCTGAACCATTTTCAGAAAAAACGCTTGTAAGTGGCCACCGGCAAACTCTTTGGCCCCCTCATTGTGTGCAAGGGACTCGTGGTGCAGAGTTTGCAGGGGGACTGGTGGTCGAGATGGGCGACAAGGTCATTTTGAAGGGCACGCATGAAGAACACGATTCCTATTCTGCTTTTTTTGACAATCTCAAGAAACACCAGACTGAGCTGCATCAATGCTTGACTGTGGAAGGTGTGGATACTTTATATGTGTGCGGCTTGGCCCTTGATGTGTGCGTCCTTTTCACAGTACTTGATGCAGTAGCTTTGGGTTATAACACAGTGCTTCTGGAGGACGCAAGTGTTCGTTCTCTCATACGGTATTACTACGACCAATGCACTCTTTTTTCTACTTGCTGAAGAGCGCTGTTTTCCGCGAAGCGCCTCTCAAACAGAGATTTTAAGTTAGATGCGGACCCATACTTACCGTACAATTATCCTTCGCGACATTTTCATTGAAAAACACAGAGGGCGCTGTCCCGCGCTAGCCATGACAGCGCCATATCCAAGATGAGAGATGCAGGAGCCACTGTTTCGACCACCAGAGAAGTAGAATGATACACTGTACTTTAGAATGATATCAAGTCATAATTGTGATATGGAGCTGCGATTGAAGAATGGGCGTGTATTGCGCTCCACTTCAGCGTCAGCGTAAAACTAGCTTCACTGCATAGTGGTACCTTCGAAGGTACTGTGCTGATATAGTAATTGAAAGTAGAATATCCGACAAAAGGCACTCTGTCTCCGTCTGGATCAAGTAGGATCTGTCTTTACGCTCATTGCGTCTACTGCTGTCGTCGCGAGATAATACCTGGCAATCATTTGCTTTAGCCTGCCAGGGTCATTTCTCTGCCGAAGTTGGGTAGGATGCTACAGCCCCGTTGCATGCACTGATGACTCGCACGGCAAGCGTTACTGTTGCTTATGTACGACATCTTCAACCCCTGTACCTGATTAGTGATCGCCCGCATTGCTGCACCAGTTATCGCTTGCGCCATCCGGCTGGAAACAGTCGAGCATATCCCTCCTGACTAACTACTGTGGTCATCGCCGCTACTAGTGCCGCGAAGTAAACATGTTTGCAGATATTCATTGACTGCAGCGATGTCATCTCTCAAGCACATAAGAAGCGCAATATCTCTTATGACTCTCGCTTTGATGACGAAAAAATGGCAGATGTAGGATAGGTGGCAGGAGATCCAGTAACTTACCTTAAGATTCAGATTTTCGGTGACACTATGAGGCGTTCTGGTGAAGTTTTATGCTTTCACGTATCTATTCGCGTACCGATGTGAAGGGAGAGCCTGCTGTTCATAGTACTATAACGAGAGGTTTATGAAGTCCAGAACGTGAGGAAGTGACATGGGAATACAAGCGTGCGAGCAAAACGCAACTGCGAGCCAGAAGACAAAAAGGCCCGTGCATTCGTCCAAACTCGTCCAAAAAGCAAAAACTTCCCGAAATATTTTCGTCCACCGCCCGGCGACCGCACTGTACAAGGCGACTCCTAGAAACGAGACCACCGAAGCTAACGTTAGATTGCGACGAGCATAATTGTTTCGAAAGTGAATAACTCGGCTAATTTAACGAATCGAAAATCAGGGAGGCGACGGCGTTTGGAACTTTGACATCTGTCCGCGATGAGGCCAAACAGGGCAGCGAAGCGAGCTCGCACAGAATCTACAAAGAAAGAGATGGAAATTGGGTATTCCTTTGAGAAGAGAGGGTTTCCGAGTTCTACGGCTCAGGGAAGACATGCTTTCAAATGGCTATTGAGCGGCATTGGAGTCAGAGATTTCTTCGCCCAATACTTTGAAAAGAAGCCTGCCATTCTCCACAACGACGAAAAGAAATTCCGAGAGCTTATCTCTGTCGACAAGGTTCGCGAGTTTGTAATCTCTGGCAAGAAGTTACGCAAGGGAACGGACTTAGACGTAACAAAATATAGCGTTAGCGAAGGTCGAACCACGCTGAATGACCCTGCTGGTTCGTACACTTCAAAAGCGACATGGGATCAAGTGACCGAAGGGGGATGTTCGCTGCGCCTACTACGGCCTCAAGAACACTTTGATGCAATTTGGCATCTGTGCGCATGGCTGGAGGGTTTCCTCGGATGCGTGATAGGTGCGAATGCGTATTTGACACCTTGCGCGTCGCAAGGATTCGCACCACATTTCGACGATATAGATGCGTTTGTTTGTCAAGTGAGCGGACAAAAGAGATGGCGCGTTTACGGGCCTCGGGACGACGGGCTGGACGTCCTGCCACGGGCGTCATCAGTGGATTTTACTGAAGAAGAAATGCGGGACGTTGAGGTCTTGTTTGACCAGGTGCTTCAACCAGGAGACATGCTGTACCTTCCGCGAGGCACAATTCATCAAGCCGAGTGTCCCGAAAGGACTGGAAGCCATGACGTGGAAGAAGCATCACTGCATGTGACGATATCCGCATTTCAGAAATGGACATGGGCTGATTTGTTGTTGGAATCGTTTCAAGTTGCGGTGCAATCGGCAGCAGCACAGGATAAGTCACTGAGGAGGACACTACCTCAGGGATTTGGCGAATTCATCGGTGTGAGTAGAAGCGAAGGAGACGAGAAGCTGCGTGAATGGTTTGAAACGACGATGCGACAGATGGTGCGGCGGGTGGGAAAGCACTATCCAACGGACACGGCTGGTGACATGATGATGACGCGGTTCATGCGGGAGCGGTTACCACCGGTGGGGAAAAGCAAAAAGCGAAAGCGAGAGGCGGGGTCAGCGTCGCTGGTGAGGGCTGTCGGTGCAGGTGTAGCTCGAGTGGTGATGGATTGTACTGTGGGGGGGGACGAGCTACCGCATTTGATTCACTGCGTTGGCAATACAAGAAGGGCAGACCTAGGGAGTGGGGAAGGGTTGTCTTGCTTGCCAGAAGAGGCTTTTGCGATTAGTTTTGTACTTGACAAGTACCCTGAGGCGGTGCGGGTAAGCGAGTTGCCACTAGGCGATGTAGATGATCAAGTGGACTTGGTGCGCGGGCTGGTTGATATGGGGATTGTAGAGGTCTTGCAATAAACGGGATGTTTTATAGCTGTTTTAATCCTATTCTCAGCATTCTTGAACTGTAACGTATTCGAGGTGTGGTGGCAATGTTGAAGAGGACATCGTAAGATTATCAGTCTTACGCGTACAAGTATACCCTGGAAGGATATATGTAAAGCTTTACCGTACAATGGATGCAAACCAGCATGGATGCATACCAGCGACCGTACAAGTATGGGAAAGCTGCATTGTCATCACCCCTCACACGCATTGCAGCCAATCAGCGACGGCGATTGACCCCAATCCCCCTGACAGCAATATGGGAATACCTGACAGATTTGATCTCAATACCCTTGACATCTGGTCAAACTACATCCTTAAAACAACCCTCCACCTTTTGGGTCATTCCGCCCTCGTCCCGTCCCCGACCATCCCCACCAAATCGTCTCATCATGAATGCGGCATTCCTCCCACCCGCCACTCTTGTCTCCCGCCGTCCCACCCTTGTCCGCCCATGCTCCCGCCTTACGATCCCACTGCCCCGCCCCTCTTCCCTCACCATGTCCGCCTCCGCCCCACTTAAGCCTCTGCGCAACCTCGCTCTCCTCGCCACCGCCGCCATCGCCCTCCGCCTTCCCACCCCCGCCGCCGCCGCCGCGCCGCCCCTCCCCCCTACAGCTTCCATTTCAACCCCCCTCACTACCCATAACTTAGCTCGCCCCTCTAATCTTGCCACCGCCATCTGCGCCCGCCCTGCCGGCGCCTCCGTCGTCCCCCTGGCCACTGTCACCAGCTCCGTGTCCGTCACCGACCGCATCGCCTTTTGGGCCGGCGAGTTCCTCATGTGGAACCCCGCCGCTCGCGTCATCGCCCTACTCGGTGTCACCCTCGTTTGCATGTACTTAGGTTCCTTCCTCTACAAGTTTGCTGACCCGAAACGCACGGAAGCTGCTTCCCCCTTCTGGCATTCTGTGCGAGCCATCGCTAATCCGCTCGAGGACGACTGGGACAACAATCTGCTGCGCACAACTTCTATCGTCCTCGCGGGTGTGGGCATGATCGTGTTTGCCATCATGGTGGGCATGGTTACCGAGAGCGTTGAATCGGCCGTACAGAACGTCGACGGGGAAATGTCGCCCGTTATCTTGAGCAATCACGTGCTTGTGTGTGGGTGGAGCCCACACGTATCGGAGATTCTTCGGGACGTGAACAGGGTACAGCATCTCAAGGTTGTCGTGCTGGCCAATCCGGACCAGAAAGATGAAATGAAAGACAATTTGCGCGCTTCCTTCAGCCCAGAGGACCGGAAGAAGATGCGCATCATTTATCGCCCAGGAGCGCCTATTGTGCAGGAGGATTTGGATCGCGTGGGCGCCAACCGTGCGAGCAAGATCCTTATCGTCAACAATCGTCAGGGCAGCTCTGTTGACGCGGATCGCAAGGTGCTGTCCAGAGCGCTTGCGCTCCGAAAGAATTTGCCAGACTTTAACGGCGACATCATCGCAGAGATTCACAACGTCCGCGATGAAGGTATTCTCAGATCCATTTTATCCTCTACAAAAGCACGTTCAGTCGAGACTGTCAATGCGGATCAATTATTGTTCCGTTTCATGGCTCAGGCTATTCGCCAACCGGGCTTAGCCGATGTTGTCGCTACTCTCATGGGAGAGAATCCATCCCATATCTTCCACGTGAAAGCCGCAGCTGATGCCGCTCCGCAGCTCGTGGGGTCGAGCTATTCAGATCTTCGACCCTCTTCTGTCCCAGGCTCCATTCTTTGCGGTGTTTTCGACAATTCTGGCAATGTTCAGGTGGGTATCAGTCAAGCAGGCCGTTCGGAGAGCGACAAGCTGAAGCCCGATACTAAACTATTGCTTCTGGGCACAAGCGAGAAACCAGGTACCACTGAGAGCGATGTCGTACACTTCTCTCCCTCGACGACCTCTAGAATGCTCAAATACGGAGAGCGACTTACTAGGTCGGAGAAGCGAGAAGCAGAGTCGTATCTCATATGTGGTTGGCGCGATGACATGCAGGATATGCTTGTCGAATTGGATGGGATATTACCGTCAGGTTCTCACATTACCATTCTCGATGAAGACACGCCAGATGTTATCCCGAAGAAGTTCGACAATTTATCCATCACTTGCCTCAAGAAGCGTCCTGACCTGTTCGAGAACTTGGAGAGTGTGCTTGCGGCGAAAGCAAAACCTTTCGACCACGTCGTTCTTCTCGGGTCTGTTTTCGGCGATGACGACGCCCCGACGCTGACAGTTAACTATGATGAAGACAGCAGAACCTTAGCGAGTTTGGTGTATGTCAATGACCTCTTGCAAAAGCAGCATGAACATGCCGTCTCGAAGAACCATGATCCGAAGTCGACGGTAGTAACAGTCGAATTCGCTAGCGAAAGAGTGGCCTCAATGGCAAAAGAACAGCAAAATGTTACAACAGCGATTCTGCCGCAAAATTTGAGCTCGAAAATTGCTGCACAAACTGTTCGAGAAAGCCGCCTCAACCCGGTGTGGCGAGAGCTATTGTCGCAAGCTGGACGGGAGGTTTATCTGCGTCCTTGCGGAATTTACAAAAACATGCCCAAGGAACCGACGGCGTTTGCGGCAGTTACTGACAAGCTGGCAAAGACAGATGGTGACATCGTCATCGGATTTGTGTCGAAGGACGGCCGTGTTGTAATCAACCCCCAACAAGCGAACCGTTTCAAAAATCGCCTCTGGGACAAGCAAGATATGCTCATCGTGATTTCACGCGAGTAGAAGAAGCGGAACCACTGTTCATAGGGGTTTCAATGTCGCACCTGACCAGCCTCGGCGTGGAGATCCCAATAGATAATATTTTTTTTAGTAAATGATGAACCGTGTGGGCGACTCCACCTGTCTGTGAACAGGATTCTCTTTTCGACCAAGTCGCGTTACGGGCGGACGCCATATTGCCGAAACTTTGTATTGCGCTCGTGAGTAAAGTCTGATAGATCCACACGCATATGTTCCGCTCACGAATCGAAGTGAGATGGCTTGGTGATCAAAAATAGTTGTTTGTGCCTTCATGGAGCTTCTGCTTCCATTGGTTGAAAGAGTTTCATGTGCGAAAGTGCTTCACATGCTTTACATACTCGCACGAGATGACTGATCTCTAAGCCACGAAGGGGTGTGAGAGGTTGGAATGTTGACCAGATCGTTGTCGAAGAGTTCGATGAATTGCTCATTGGCAAGACGTCCTCGGCCATCGGCATGACGATGATATTCCTCAATGATGCTTGAAAGAGCCCATCTCTGAAATTTCCGTAAGCAGCCAATGATCGTCCCAGTCCGGTGCCTCCCTTGGGAGCACATGACGTAGGCTGGGTACATCCTATGGTCAAGCAGTAGTTCCATTGCCGAAAGGACGACTTCTTCTGACATCGGTTTCCACGGGGCTGGTGACTCCTCCTCATCGGGTGTCAACGGTATGACGTCGATACCCTGATCATCAACAAAGTCTGCAAGCTTGTCCGAAATATCTTCAGAGGCAAGATATATGATTGTCTTGAGCTGCAGTTTTTCCAGAAAAGGAAAATTTAACTCGTTGGGCATTCCAGAGCGGTAAAGATCTTCCTCGACGATGCCAAAATTTGTCGGCGGGATTAGAGATCCACCACCCACTACTGCGCACCATTCCCCATCATCTAGGGCTTCTGAATTTTCGTTGGCACTGCGTGCTTTGGCCTTTTCTGCTCTGTCATTTTCTAGCGGCATGACTTTTTGAAGCCAGTGAAAACCCTTTCATTAATCTGTTGATTGCTCGCTCGCATTCGGGGGGCGTGTTGTGTAGCTTACCGCCACAGGTAGCATTCGCTAGTTGACTTGCACCATTGGATCAACTTGCGGTTATCAGCGCAAGTCCTGCTGAATCGTTGAGACGCAGAGAGTAGAAGAGAATGCAATCTTGTTTCCAACGTTGCGCACAAATCATATAACGCAATTCGATCGCGAGGAGGTAGCGGTGAGAGCACGCGCTTCAACTTTCCCTGCAGTGCCATTGCAGAGCCCAGTGCTGTGTATATGCTTTATTCAATGACTACAGATCTCATATCGACAGATATCTAGGGACAAGTGTCACGCTTGGACTGGATATGTTAAGTCTGTGATGTGGGATGGCATACGTGCTAGGATGGCTGTGGCAATTGATGACCAGATAGCGTAGCTAATGCGTTGTTGTAGACGCAACTTCACGGTGCCATATGCACAATGGCTGCGGTAGGAAATCTTGAGGGCAAGGGCTTCGATGACATTCATCGTGTTGGCGGAGCAAGCTCCCAGCGTGTCAAAGGAAAGGGGAGCGAGGTACCAGTCGAGGGCGGGGATCTCCGCATCATTTGGAAGTTGCAGTGCTTCGCGGAGTGTGCACCGTAGGGTCTGGCGCTTCGAGAGGTCCCCGGCTTCCGCGGCTGTGGCGGGTCGTTGTGCAGCTTGGCAGATAGCTTCTGTGGTGTATGGGCTGCGGATGGTCACGTCGTATGCGGTAGACTTACATTCCTAGAGGGGAAGCACCTGGTTGCACAAGTATATCTGCCGGGCGATGGTTGGTGTTGGGGATCAGGAATGGAACTTCAAGGGTGCAGGCGCGGCCGGCGACTCTAAAAGCGTGTGTAGCCAGTTGGTTGCGTAGTGTGTTGTGGCGATGGATCATGCCGAAACATGTTTAGCAGTGTGTAGCGTGATCTCCCCGGGCGTCCATGCGACTGAAGCAGTGCGAGCAGCGAAGCGGGATGATTGAATCGCTGTATACAGGGACGTCTAGATGCCGGCGGAGCATTACTGACCACTGCGCAGAGTGTAAACGAGTGATAAGAGAAGGGTGTGCTGTAAGGAAGGTGGAAGCGCTGGCCGATAAAAGGCAATGATAGCGCACACGGTGACTAACGGATATCAGAGTGTGGTCCGTTGGGTTGGGGCGGGTGATCCAATAGTCTTGTTGCCAAAACCGGCGTGAATCGGCTGCGTGAATAACCTGAAATAGGAAGTGGTGAGAGCCTTCAGGTCGCTGTGCAAGTGCATCCGGTTCGTATTGGCCAAGGTCATAGTTGGCCATAGTAGAGTGGGTAATTGGGTAAGCGGGTGGGCGGTCAAGTGGTGGGAGTTTGTGCATCAGGGAACGGAGGTGTGTACGAGCAAGGCCGAGGTATTGCGAAACGGGGAGGCCTTGACGGCCTTGGAGTCGGTGTGGAGCGGAGGAGGTGAGACTGGCTGCGTATGATGCGTGAACGAGCGGGGTGAGAGCGATGAATCCGTGGCCACCGAAGCGGAAAGGGAGTCTGACCTGTCGGATGACTGCAGTGGACAAGGGGATATTATTTATCTTGGAGTAGGCCATGTATTGGTGTTCGTTGAATTGGGTGGCAAAGGGGAGTGAAAGTTCGCTCTTAAGACGTGGGGGAATGAGTCGGACCAGATGATGAACAAAACATGCAGATGCGCACATTCGGTGGAGGTGGATCTTGATGCGGGCGTCTGGAACGGCTTGTACAAGGTCCAGATTGGCGATGCAAGAAGCAAGGTTTTTGGACATATGTTCCTCTATATACTCCAGAGTGCCTATTGGGGAGCCGAGGAGGTCAATTCCGTCCACGGAGATGTGTTGGGGCGAGAATATGGGTGACAAAGCTTCCAGTGTGGCGGCATGTGCTGAGGGCACGAAGACGCGTGTGGTATAACTACCTTCGTCCCGACCACTCGGAAACGAGGGGAGTTAGAGGTAAGGGAGCGCGCGCCGCTGGGTACCCCACGCGCGAACGCAGACCGTATGGATCGACTCGAAAAGAGGGAAGGCTCACGTGGCCGGTGACGCGCAGCCGGTCGGTAGTGTTAGATCCGGACGGCCAGTCATGGGTTAGAAGCCTGAGACTAAAAGGGAAACCGGAACGGGATAGCAATTAGCCGTAAAGGGAGGGGAGGCGAGTCTGCCTCCCGTTTACTGGAACGGGGCAGGTGCCCCCGGTCTTAATCCCTAAGTGGGACGCTAGGACACCTGTCCCGCTACAGTAGCTGTTACTTACTGTATACCAGCTACTGTGCTAAATTGGCTAATTTGTGCCATTAACTACTAATTACTAGTTAGCCACTGTACGGATTATACACGTGTGCCCGTGGCCACGATCCCTGCTAACGGTTGTGCCACGTGTTACCCGTGGCCACGCCCGCTGTTACCGGCTGTCCCACGTCGGATCCTTGGGGTACTACTGTGCACGGCGCCGGGCGCGTGTACGCCTGCTCGCTACAGTAGCACCCGCCCTCCCGCGCGGCTATCATCTCGCCGGGGGGTTGTGGTACGGAATTGAACTACAACGCGCGTCTTCGCTAAATTTATGTGGCATTGGTGCCGGGTTCCTGCTGCGTACAGAAATCTAACAGCCGTGAGGACTTGAGAGAGTGGTCCGGCTAGCGTGACGTCGTCGGCGTAGGCTGCCACCAATGGGAGGTTACAAACTTCCGCGAGCTCGCGCAAGAGCTCATGGACGGAAAGGGAAAAAAGGAGCATGCTTGGCGGGTCACCTTGTTGAGCCCCTTCGCGGCTTTGGATCACCTGTGGCGGGGAAGCGGGTATGATTAGGGGCGGAGCTGAGCCGGCGTATATTTGGTTACAAAAGCGGGCGAGAGAGGGCGCTCGTAGAGGAAGGGTGTCCAGAAATCGCTGGCGGGAGCAACGGTTGAAAGCGTTACTAGCATCGATGGGGACCACGACGAACTCCTTGCTGCCGGCATGCCGATCTGTCATCATTCGTGTGTCATGTATTATCGCGTCGAGGTCGGCGCGGATTCCGTTGGCCTTTTGTATTGGGTGTAGGTATTCACGTGTATCGTCTATGGCGGCGGGGAGAAAGGTCTTCATCACAACACGACGGAGCACCTGACATATAGCGATTGGTCTAATTTTCCCAGGGCGGGGATTAAGGGGAAGGAGAGTGGCCGCTGCCATGAGTGAGATTGTTTGAGTTGGGAGATTACCAGATGCGAGGAGCCGAATTAGATTAATGAGAGCAGACAGACTTGTTACACGAGCTTGGGGCGTGATGGGGCTGATGACCAGGAGGTGTAGGAGGCGAGGGGTCATGAGGTCAGGTCCAGGCGCAGAGTGGGGTTGGAGAGATCTGACTGCTCTCCGTATCGCGGATTCGTCAATCTCTGGTGGAGGTGGAAGATCATGCTGAGGAATCCAGATAATCGGGACGGCAGGTGCGGGGTGGAGGGCAGAGAGCGCGGCCTGCGTGCTAGGGTCGTTCAAATCTGCGAGCGGGGCTTTGGTCAAGGATTTCACGGCTCTTCTATTTTGCTATTCGGAGGCTAAACGCATCGCGCGACCGAGTCTGCGGGAGGCTGGAGTGGTCGTGGGTCATGTGCAGGGGTGGCGGATGTGCCGCAAGTGACGTGAGTTATGAGCATCCAGGGCCTCGCGCGATAGGGCGGGCCATTCAGACTCGGAACCAGCACGGCGGAGGCTTTGAGATAAAGCTCGACGTTGGCCTGATTGTGGTCGCCATCCAGGCTCACCACGGAAAGATCGTCGGATCACTGCGGTCGGGAAGAGGTGGAGCCGGAGACATGCAGCGTGCACGTCAAGGGGGAGAAGCGAGCTGATGATTTCGTGATTAGGCGAATGAGGAGCAGCACCGTGGCGTGCAAGCACGGCCCAGGGATACAGTTGAAGATGTCAGAAGGGCGGAATGGGGAGCGGAGAATTTCCTCAACTAAAGGAAGGGGAGAGGAGGAAGAGGTTGGGGAAGGCGTGCTGTGAGCGAGGGGGGGTACCTGGGACGAGGGCGTAGCAGAGGATGAGAGGGACTGTTGACTCACTGTGATGACGAAGGGTGCGGGAGCGGAACCGCGACAGAAGAGAAGGAGGGACTGCGGAAACGGCGGGCCGAGGGGAGAGCGGCGGAGATGAAGAGGGGGCATTTGCGCAGGGCATTGGGGGCGGCTGAAGGGCCGGCGTGGGCAGGTAGCGGCGGGCAGGCGGGGGAGGGGGGAAGCGCTTTATAAGGGGAGGGGGGGAGTGTAGGGCGGTCGGACGAGGCTACAGGGGAGGGAGGGGGAGGCGGAAGGAGATAGGGGGAGCGGGGGAAATATCTGAGGGCGCATGCGCCGTAGCAGGGTCGGGGTCAGCGACCGTGGCAGCGGCATCACCGGTGGATACGTTGGGAACAAGGACCGGAAAGGGCGGAGCAGGAGGCCGAGGCGCAGGAGGACGAGCAGGCGAAGTGGGTGGAGCGGAAGTCGAGGCGGCAGTGGGAGCCCGGGTAGGGCCCTCGACGGGGACTTGAAGGGCGGCAATCGGTGCAGCAGAGGCAGAGGCGTGCGACAGAGAAGGAAGGGTGGTCGCAGGGCGGTAAAGAGCGGGTCGGGCCACGCGAGTAGAGGGTCCCGGTGGATTATGGGGGGTTGACTGGCGAGGGGTGATCTCGCGGGCGTGAACCTGAAGCGAGAGGGCCAGAGCATGACGGACGGGTAGCGGCACGGCGGTGGGAGTGCTGCGGTTGAGGAGACGGAGCGCCTCGTAGCGTAGGCGGCAGACAACTCCGGCGGCGGCGAAAGAGTCGAGAGCAGAAGCGGTGGGAGGCAGGGGGGCAGTTTGGATGGCGAGGTCTTCGTAGGTGAGACGGAGGTGGGTGAGGATGCGGACGAAGAGGTCAGAGTGAGAGGCGAGGAAGTAGACGTATGTCCAGCGGCCAACTCCGGGGACTATGACGTGGGGAGGAAGAAAGGCGCCAGCGAGGTGGGCGCCTCTGCGTAGGGCGGACTGGGCAGCAGCAAAGGAATGGAATGCAGCGAGGTTGGTGTCCGGGCGAGACCGTAGGCGGTGACGGCAGGGGGCGGAGCCACAGGCTCTCCGGTGCGGGTGTCGAGACGGATCGGGTTGCCCACGGTGGGACGAGAAAGTGGGCTACAGCGAGTGTGGCATGCCAGACTGAAGTAGGGGCAGCAAGTGCTGCACGGGCAGCCGCGAGAGTGAGTACGATATCTCCCGGGCGGGCCGGGACACGTGGCAGCTGGAAAAGGCGAGCCGCGACGAAAGGAGATATGAAAGATTCAGTGGAAGCTGAGGGCAGGGGAACGAAAAGAGTGGAAGCTGAGGCCTGGTCAACAAGCGAGTGGAAGGTAGCGCGGCGTTCGCCGCGTTTGCAGGAATTACCGGGGAAAAGAACGAGGAGTACGACGGGTTTGAGCTGCTGCAACGGTCACCCATGGTTGCGTGAGCGGAGGGACTTGGGCAGGGGAGGCCTGAACGGGTGGAGCAGGGCGCGAAGGCGAGGACAGTGTCGCGCGCGAGGGCGACGGCGGGGTCGTGCGCGAAGGCCAAGGTGGATGCGGTGTTGCCCGCGAAGGCGACTGCGATGTCGCGCGCGAATTCTCGAAGCTGGACGTGCTCGAGTTGTTGGCGCCGTACGCGGCCGCGCTTGGGCCAACCACGTTGGTTTGCAGCGGGTGCGGCGACGGAGGGAAGCGGGGGGATGACGACGTCTTTGTCTTCGTCTTCGCCATCATCATAAATTCAACTACACTCAGTTACCCCATTTAGTCTCCCCTATACTAATTCGGTGATGGATTTTAGAGCGAACGCACAAAAATTACTGTACGGGACACTATTTCTGTAGTGACACTAATAAAACACAAACCTCAAATGGTGTCACACAC